TAAAATCTCATGGGCCGTTTCAAAGTTTCAAACTAAGCAACGTCGTATTACTGAGGTAAATTTGATTGTATCGATTTGTTTTGGTTTGAGGAATATGTGGTAGAAGTTCTTGTAACGAACTTTTAAGGACACCCATCAGGTATGCATGAAATTGAATTTGGTCAATTTACACAAACATTAAAGAGAGCTGAAAGTTAGTTATTGAATGAGGGAATAGAAAACAACATTGAGATATAATATTCAGTGGCGTCCTCAGACACTGGAAAATTATTCTTGATGATATTTTTGTGTTTCTTCACTCCTCAATATGACATAAGTTGTCAGAAAAAAACTGTGAGTTACAGGGTGTTCTTCGATTAATCTTGAATTCACCATTTTGATACTCAGACTTTCGAAATGAATACCATGTTTCATTTAATACTGATCGGAAACAATAGAAATATTAGCGAATGAAAAAAACGAAGGTATTCCTAAAACAATGTCTTCTAACAGAAACACCATAACCTAAACAATTTTCGATCAGTTTATATCAATTGAATCGGAAGCAATTTCCGTCCAGAAGAATGAAAGCGGAATCTATTTTCTGCTTTCTTTCTCGTTTGATATCATCTTTCATGATTTTGTGTTAATTATATTATCTGTGGATGAGCAGAAAAAGCCATTGCTCGATCAAACTGTTCGTTTATCATTCAACCACATTAAAGAAATTTTTTTTGATATGCCACTTTTTCAAAATTAGCAATGGCAAAGAAAATAATTTTGAGATTTGAAACCAAAACGTTGAGCGCGTTATAAAAGCGTGGTGGAAATGGAATATTGATGACTTACAGTAATATAAGTACCTATAAAGAAGAAAAACTTTTCACGTAGTAAAAAATTATTCGCAAATTGAGTGGGATGAAGAAATAACGAGCATTTTTGGTGTCCTACGAAATTGATATTCCGGATCCAAAACATACTTAGGAAAGATACTAATTTTCAAATTCTAACGAATATACCTTTTCGTTTCTCAAATTATTCTCTGCTTTATAATTCGAATTTGGATTTCATTATATACAATACTACTATTTACACCATTTGATATCCTCTTCTCAATATATCATTTTGAAAGTACAATAATGAAGTACCTACTTATCTATAGGTAAATGAGATTTGAACGGATATGTATCACAGATTTTATTATGATATACAATGCCTTTAGAATTTCACATCTCCTCGATCCCAATTCCCATAACTAAAAGTAAGTGGTTCTGAAAAACCATTTAGTCAAAGTAATTATATTGTTTGTATAAGGAAAGCTAAAAACACAAATGTTGCTTAACATATTTTTTATTAAGAAATAAATCTATATATAAACATCGTACAAATTAATAAATGTAACAAAGATCTTAAAATATATAGATATATAAAATATAACTGTACATAATAGGTGATTTTATGCAAAATACGGAATGCATAGTTGAGTGAAGTTCAGATTCTTTTTTTTAATAAATTATAATTTTATATATAAAATATATCTGCTCATTTAAAGCCTATTCACTATAAATGATACATTCAGAACAGCTCTTAGGTATACTACTAAATGATTAGAATTGACACTCAATACCCAACAATGAAAGTATGGGTCTACAAATATTAGTGCAATATAATTCAAATCAGTCAGTGAGGTGATAATTGATGATAATCATATTATAACTATTATTTACAGAATATTCTTCATAATTGGTAACTTAATTTTAATACCTATGGAGAAACGTATTCTTTGGTTACATATCAAAGAAACATAATTTTGAAAATGCCATTTTGATCCTGAGATTCAAGATTAAAAAGAAAACGAGAAGCTAGTTGAGAAACTAAAATAGAAAGTTGTCAAAGATAGTAACGGAACACTTGTTGCTTGTATAGAACGATTCGTATTCTCTTCACAGATGGATTTCGATTTTGACTCGCACTATAGATGCGTATTTTTATAGACAGGAAGTGTACCGTATTTGCAAAAGATCACTTCTGTATTCCATAAGATGTGGAATTGAGAATGTTTTCGATTGAATTTCAATGTGTTGTATTCAAGTCATGGTGAATATTTGGAGAAACACATAAGTATGCTTATTTTCCGAGTCTTCATCACCTCTCAAAATTATTGTACGAAAATTAGGACCACCTTATGCCACTGCTCGAATAGCCAAACCACACTCAAAGTCCATAAAGATCGCATTGCTTTGAAATACTGATTCAACTGGAAAAAGACAATATGTCACACTTATGTGGCTTCTAGGGCATGCATGAAGGAATCGAATCAAAAAGAATGTGGCAGCTGATCGCCTTGCAACAAAAGATGCGGAATTGGAATCTTATGATCCTGTAGAATAATCAAATGTCACATACTGGCAGGATCACCAATCATTCGCGAAACAGAGCCAAAGGAGCTACCCAGCCTGGGCACACCACTGCCGAAGCTTATCACAGGCTTATAATCTACTGAATAGACCATCTTATATAACCCTTGACTAACCCTTAATATGTGCTATCAGTATTTCTTCGATTGGTTGCAGATTGGGATGAGTAAAATTTTTTTGTAACACTTGTATATCGCTACTTCGAAGTTGGGAACCAACTCCCCAGAAGTCGAAACTTGTGCAAGGTTAGGAACAGCGGGACCTACAGCTTATAGTGGAATACGAACCACTTCTAGGGCATCGAGGTGTCTCATTTTATCATTTGTCCAACAAAAGAATCAGAGTAAGATGAGAACAAAAGTAATGAAATGTTGATACTCATGAGTATTGCACCGCATTTTAGAAAATAAGTGAACGACAATATACTCTTCACTTGCCTATCATCATTTTTCGATATAAGTACACAGTTTTCCCGACTCAATTTTTCTATCGAACCTTGAATTTTTCAACCCCAAATCACACTTCGACCCCTGAACGCTAGCCTCGCTCTCGCTAATTAGAGATGATGTTGCTCTTTTTTTGTAATTGAGATGACACAAATACCAAAAATTTTTTGTGTCAGCAAGGACTCATTCATTTTTGTTCGAATTCGCAATTCGCTATATTTATTGAAAGTTGTTTCTTCATTTTCAATTACTGTCAATCGCCCATGGAAAACAATACCTTTCCAATGTATTTAAAGTGGGATAGAAAGTTCGACTAAGGCACAAGCTCAAGAATGACGCCTTCAAAACTTCTGATGGGTTCGCAGATTAAATCATATAATTTGGGAGTCCGTGAAAAAGTGCGCTAGATACTTGAGTATTCAGTATTCCATGGAAAAAAGGAGAAATTGACTGTCCTCATCCCATTTTTTTATTTTCAACACCCATGTTTAATGTACAGTTTATCCTAGTTTTTTACAATAGCTCGAATATTCAATAAGTTATCGATTTCAAATTGCATGCGCTTCAGTCAAGTTATATTTTTTGAGAAAAATGAGACAAATCTTCTCTATTTTTATCGTGATCCCATTCATTTCGGACCATTCTTTGTCACCTATGGAATTTTGATAAAATGTGTCAGAGATAACTTCAAAAGTATTTGTCAGTAAGCCCCGTATAAATCGAGGTTATTTCATAATTATCCCTGCATGAATCATCTTATCTATCAAACAAACATGATTGATAGATAATGATTCTTTGAATAATGAATAAAATAGCTATGAGTTTATACTAACGCTGGTACTGAAATACAGCAAATGCACCAGTGACTTCATAGATATTTTCTTAAACCTACAAATTCATTTCTTTACCTCTCAATTAATTCCAATAAATTGATTCGTTTCAGATATATAAGTACTTATCTCTAAAATGATTCATTCTATGAAAATTTCAAAAATCTCCAGAAATAACTAAGAAGTCACTGTAGCAGGTACTAAAAAAATGGGAGATGACTGAACACTCAACTACCCTATGTTTGAAACAACGGTACAAATGCTCGTGTTACAGAAGCAAAATTTATTGAATTTCGAACTTGTACCTATTTTTAATGCAGGCATGCAAATGCCAATTTTCGAAAAAATATTCAACCTAAAATCGTTGAAGATTTGAGTTCTTATAGAATCAAATCGGATAATTCTCTTCTCCTCATCAATATCATATTATCTAAGGAAAGCAAAGGACAAAAACCGATCACACAAATGAAAGCCAATAGAAAAAATAGTATGAGTAATTTGCAAAAAACTATCAGAATCTATCTAGATATTCTATAATCAAAAGCAACAATTGTTCAAATTCCATAATATAAGAGTGTCATAAGTGAGTGACATTAAAAACCATGAAGTTGCAGAAATCAAGCAACCACAGCCAATAACAATTTTCTTCTCACCTTCAAAATTCAATGGACTTCAGCCATGCAATGATAATCTAGTAGGTGTTACTTATCCTAATGTTGAAGTTATGAGATTCTAATATCGCATACTCCAAACTAAACAATCTTCTGTGATAGAGTAACCAATAAAAATTAATATACAAAATGAGCAAAGAACATATTTACAAAAATCCACAACCACCAATCAAGAAAATCGTTAAAGCATGACGGTCATATATGGTATCAGTTTCAAGAGATAATTTTCTTCTTCAAATGAATTTCATACCTGAGAATAACAATAGACAGTAACCAACCCAAGCAAACGGAAATCAAATGGAAGGGGTTAAGTAGTCTACAAGTAACTTTCCCAATCTGTCTCGATGTTCCTTAAATTGCCACAATTCTATTTAGATATAAAAGTGTCCCGTTACTATTTGTGACCACTGCATCTTCATAAAAAAGAAACCAGGAAGTTGCAAAAATCCAGCAACCACAGCCAATAAGAATTTTCTTCTCACCTACAGAATTCAATGGTTTTCAGACATTCTAGTAGGCGTATCTTATCCTAATGTTATATGAGATTCTTAATACCGCATACATCAAACTTAACAATCTTCCGTAATAGAGTAACCAATGAAAAATCAATATACAAAATACGCAAAGAACATATTTACAATAATCCACAACCACCACTCAAGATGACAAAGAAACAACAGTCGGTCTGTCCACCACGAGATCCCCGCTCATGATCACCTTGGTGCTATTGTTGTTGTTGTTGTTGATCATGTGGGGCGAAGAAGGGCTGTCAGAAGCGGTGGAGTTAGGGCTGGGGCTCGGCTGCTGGAGGATCGAGTCGTAGTATTGGGCTGTCGTCATTTGGGGGGATTGGGACGAATAAGGGCTCAATCTTTGGTGTTGTTGTGTCGTGTAGACGTAGCCGGAAGAGGCGGCTGCGTGTTGAAGTTGGTTCAGTGATGTGACTGATCTCAGATCATTGTAGTTTTCTGAAAAATAAAGTAAATATAAAATATGGTGGAAATGTATGGAATAAATTCATTATCACTAAAGCATATGAATTTGAAAAAAAATCCTGAGACAGGTTGATTTTTATTTTCAGATTGACACCTCTTGATATACAAACGGAGTTTGTAACGTCATCCGCCTAGTTGTAGTGACGTCATCAATTATGTTTTTAATGGAAACATCCCCTTTTCATTATTTTTTCCCAAAGGTATATTCATTGTCTATCCAACATTATACTGATATAAGCAAAATGAGGTAATACAGGGTGTGAAAAAATTATTGATTATTTTATATTTACAACGGAAACCATTACAATAAATGTTCGAATTGGTGTCCTTCTGCAATGATACAATGTGATAGACGAGCAACGAATTCATCTTCAACTTTGGCTATTGTTTCTGGAGATATTTGTGAAATCTTCACTCGTAATCGTTCTTTCAAATCATCTAAACTTTCCGGTCTGTCAACATAAACTTCGCTCTTCAGATAACCCCAGAGAAAAAAATCGAGTGGAGTTGAATTAGGAGATCTAGGTGGCCATTCGATTGACCCTCTTCGGCCTATTCATCGATTATGGAAAAAAATATCCAGGTAATTCCGTACATCGATAGCATAATGAGGGGGCGCCCCATCTTGGTGAAACCATAGGTCATCTCTATTTGGAATTCATTAATAATTGGAAATAATTCAACTATAGAATCCTGAATTCAAAATATGATGATTCAACTTCTGTCTGAGTTACAAGGTATGTTTCATTTGATAATTTAAAAATCATTTGTGCCCAGTACTTCAAAAGTATTCGACGTATTATTATCCTATTTGGTGGGGAGTCTGTGTACTATATGACCTACGGAATCATGTTAAATGAACGTTTCTGGCTACTACCAGAGACGTACGACAAGGACAAGTGACTGGTTGATCCCTCCTTAATTTTACGCTACTCGCGGAATTGCAATAATCCTTTCACAATTTTTCGATTTTCCACAATTTTTGAACATCTGCATCCAATTTTTCATTGTTTCCTCAAAAATGGAGCGGTATATGGAAGTGAAACAAGGACCTAGGAAGTAAATCTTTGGTAGAAGTCCATGTTTGCCCAAGGTAGAGTGTGGAATTCTTCAAAGAGAAGAAGGAAAGTCATCCCCACACTCTCAATGATATAATTCAGTCAAAGGAATCTGTTTCGGCCCAATTGGCGCATTGGCACCAACATTTGAAACTATTACACCTCCAGTCAACTCTTGTTTACTTATATGTACCCATATTTTGGGCTGAAGATGGACTTTTATATGTCCGAAACATGTCTCCTTGATTAATTTGAGTTTGATTAGTCAATTTGATTAGTCTTGCTGACAGAAGAGCTATCGCCGATATCAAATTCTCTTTCAAAATGATGAATGGATCATTCCTTCCTCATCAATAAATAACTTGATCCATTACAATGTTCCACGATACTCCATTCGCTATTATAACTTGTTCCATACATCTATACCAAACACAAATTACTATCTCAACTACTTCTACAGACTCTTCAACAATCTTTGTGAACAAACTCAAGAAACACTTTGTTCCAGCATCCAATTGATGATATGTTGAAGAATTTTCTTTTTCATATGAAATATATAAAATCTTTGCACTGTATAATGAAATTGAGTACCTAACCCTACTTAGTATACCTATATGTCTCTGGGTACGTCCTGTTTGTATTTCTGTATGTGAAAACAGAAATAAAATAAAATAAAAATAAAGATTCATATCATCAAAAGTATAGAAATAACTTTGAACTTTCCTTTTTCCCTTCGACCTACAGAAAGTCTTTTTTTTTCGCATTTATTGAGAAACACCCTGTATACTATCTTTCGAAGTAATTGATATCATTCAATGAAAATTTGAAATATAAAACACTGAGGTAAGGATTCCTCAAAGTTTCCTTGGGGTAGGCAAAAAATAGGAACTGGTCGTCTGACCAAAAATGTTTGAATAAATGAAACACGCATGACTAATTAACGTTTTTCATGGTGAATCTTGAGGAATGATTCATCATTATGTGAACATTTTTATTCAGCTGATTTTTTCTCGATGCAAAAAATAGTTACCTAATCCATTTTCCAATTTGATTCCAACATCTTCCATCTTGATTGGTGTTCCTGAGATCGATGTATGATGTGTACTGAGATTCCTAGGTATTTGTGCTCCATTTGCATTACTTTCTTTACTGCCCTTCGGCTTCCTTTTCCTCGTCTGTAAAAAAAATCCATCGATTTAAATAACGTGCGAGAACGTTAAAAACATGTTTCGAATGAACCTTTTTCAATGGGTACTTTCAGTCACATACATTCAAATGGGTAGGTACATACTGATTTTTCTTCTTGATAAAGTTTGAATTTTCTTATACTGGCACAAAAAATTTCCATACACAGAAAGCCGAGTAGTAATGGAATATGAATGATAAACCTCCGAAATATCATGATGTAAAGTTATTAATGTTTCAAAGTTCAACTAATTTGATGAAAATTGCTAACGTTCATTTCAAATGAGAATAGTTGAGTGCACTTCCAGATATGCCTACTGAAAATGTAATTTTCGGACTCAAAAACTCGCTATGAGTACACCAGATCGTTGTACCAAATTTGAAATATTTACACAAAATAGCAACAAATATATGAAGGTGATCATGGAGAAATAAGATTCATTGAATCAACAAATTATTCTGCCCTATATCCACAATAATACTGTTATTGTAAGCTTTTTTCTACAAACGTAAAAAATGACAAGGTTCGCGCATTGATAACAAATTGACACTTTTTTTCAGTTTCCCCTACGTTACCATGATACCATGATGATATCAGATCTCGATCACCAAAGTAGCATTTCGCACTCTACATACAAAAATGACTATTTCACACTATGACAACATTTTTTTACTCAAAAAATCAGATTGTCACCCAAACAAGAAACTTCGATTGTATACCAAATATGATGTCATAGATGTGTCATAGTAACAGAACTTGTGTTACAGTAACAGGATATTTTGACATGAATATTGGACAAAATATCTAGTTGATTCGATGCAGTCCTCTAGTTCAGTCCTCTGTTCTCTTGAGTGCTCATATTATATTAGATATTTCATATTGTTATAACTATGGAAAAGACAAAAAGTGGAACGATATGTTGAATAAATAAGAATAGCTCAGAGTCATTTCCAGTGCCGGATTTAGGGGGGGGGCTATGGGACTATCAGCCCCTGGCGGTGAATTTCAAGAGGCGGTAGAGAAAAAGAGAAAAGAGGAAAAGCAAGCAACAATACAGTCGTTGACTGGTCGAGATACTGTTTTTGTGAAAATCATAACATGCACTAATCTAGCGTCAGCTGTGTCTGGGCGTTACCATCGATAATCTCGATGGTAACGGTCTTGGAAGCTGCAATACAAAAGCGGCGGCGGTACATACTTTTATTTGATGATGAGAAGAAAAACCGCATTCTACTCGTCTAACTCAATAACAAAAAAACAAAATCAGAGTGGTTGTTCTTGGTATTGTTGGTAATGGTACAAATAATAAATAAATCGAAACTTGAATTTAAAAAAATGAGTGAAAAAGGTGGTGCATTCTGGAAACGGCAGAAGATTGATAAACAAAATCAGTTAGACGAAGTTGTCAAGAAATGCCCTGAAATACATTCATTTTTTCTAAATACAAATGAGACAGAATCAGAACCGATTCGGGAAATTCACGATCTCAAGACAGGAATGGTAAGTTTTATTTATTTTTGAATTCAATGCGCGAAGAAGAAGAGTTAGAATCTCAAAAATAGATGATCGAAATATGAACACGACTAAGCGTTGTTTTAGGGTTAATCACAACAAATTCAGTGAATATCGGCAATTACTGAGCATTTTTTCACTATCCCTGATGATTCGTAATGCCAGTGGTTGAAGGTCAATCTCAACAGAGTGAAAAACTACTTTAGGAATTCCATGGTAGAGGATATATTGAATATCTTATCAATTACAAGTATTAACAGTGAGATGTTATCAAATCTGAATTTTGATGATGCCATTGACGACTTTGCATCAAAAAAATCAAGAAAATTATTTTAGTATTCATCTGAAAAAAATATTTGTTGTTTGTTGTTATGTTTAACGTGTGAAGTAAATATAATTTGATTCGTTGTACATAATGATTTCATGTTATTGTTATATGCTGTAAAAAAAGCAGTGAAAGGGTTATTTGAATTTTGAAACTGACAGTTGAAAATTAAATATTTGGCGGCGGCGCGGCGGCATCGTAAAAGTTAGCCCCCGGCGTAAGGGAGTATAAATCCGGCACTGTCATTTCTACAAATGTTCATAATTGCACGAAACTGGTAGAGAAAAACTATTTTCCTGGCAGAATGCCGCACGCAAAACATCAAATTAATTACATTCTCCCGAACGATTCGTATGGACGAATAAGATCACAAGTACTCCTTTCCTAAATGTTGAATTATTGTGCTTAAATTGTCCAGGAACGCTGGATTACCTATACACCGGTTTCAAGCTTTTGGCTCTCATCACTGCAGATGGCATTCATGACCGCCATCGTAGTTGAAATCAAGCAAGTCTGGCAATCAGCAACTCCGATTCCATCTGTAATAGGAATTTGTTTTAGAGTGTTTCTTACATTCTATCCTAGGTGGCGTTCGTGTTCATCTCGCAGTGACCGAACGCCTCGTGGGTATTGAATGCTGAGCTGGGGTCCGGTTCGTAACCAGATAGCGGTCATGAATGCCATCAATCATTATTCATTTCATATTTTATTAATGATGAGACATACTGTTAGTTATTATTTTTGTACCTGAATACTGTCTTTTTTCATCGACAATGGCCTGTTGACGGAATGTAACTTGTAGTAGAGGCCGCATGCATTGCATACTGGTTCTCCTAGGGCGTTCCTTCTCCATAAGGATGTGGTGCTGGTGTGGCAATTGGTGCAAGTGAGACCAGCACGGCGAGACGCTGACTGTAACATAATTAACCTACTGTAGAAGTCCATCGCATATTGTCTCAAAATGGAGTGAAGTATTAGTTCATATAGTAATAATACTACAAGTCGTCTCCACAACGTTTAATATCAGCAATCATCAAATCATAAATGGAAAGGGGATAGTTTCGGATCTATAGTGTATCCATCATCAGCCGATTGAGAAAATTATTGTACAAAGAACAAACCAACAATAATAGGTTATCAATGGTAAAACATGGTAGTACTCACGTGGAGTAGAAAAAATGTATTTGGAATCACATGAAGTTACCAAAAAATATAATTTTAGGAAAAATTTGAACTATTGTTATTATAACAGGTTTTCTAAACAGAGGCCTTGTGCCCCGATGAGATGAGCCACATCAGGAGGCCGAAAGACATCCAAAAATGTATTTATATTTGATTATATTCATTGAATTTTATGCTGGTCGACTGGCTTTATGATCACTACATAATGAATGATATGTTGTTCTCATCGTTCTCTATATTTCGTTTTCAAGATCTTAGTGGTTTATGAATGAAGAATTCGTGCTTTCTGAATCAAAATTCACTTTGATATGAAATTCAAGTTCCACTTTCTGAAGTATAATTCACTAATCTGAATTGAGTGTATGTTATAAATCTTTATGCAAGAAATACTTCCTGAATCACAATAAACATTTCTCGAATATTACCAGTTAACTTCAATTTATTATATAATTACCATTTTACTAATCTGGATTTCAAGTAATACTGTGATTTTCTTCGCAACAAACTGTCGTGATGATGACTAGCATTTACTACTATAGTATTATACTCTGACTAATGATGGATTTTTAATTATAAGAGTAGGTTGTCTTGGTCATAAAACGCCGTGCAGGGAAGTAGAAGTTTGTGACGTGAACAAAAAAAATCATATTTTGTTCACAGATATCAATATATTCTATATGACGACTGAAAAATTGATCAATTTACTTGGTAAAAGTTATACAGAATATAGATTTCCATAGCTCCAAATTATAGAATTTTCACCGCGTTTTCCGATCAAGACTAACTCTTATACGAATAATCAACAATTTTACCAACGTTGCATCACATTCACATTTTATGAAATCTGGTTCAAAAAAGCGTATAATATGTATTCCAACATATTTTAACAAGCTGATTTGGACTCCGCGAATCGTGATGAAACGCCAACAAAAATAGAAACAGAAAGTTCCTGAATAGTTTCCAGAGTTATTCCATAGTACTAGGTCTTCAAGTTCTGTGAGATATTCAGGAACTTACCGAAAATGATTTCTAAAAACTACTTGCAATGTCACAGGGTATCATGGGGTCAGAAAATATAGGAAAGCATATATAGATATGAACCAAATTGCCTCTATAATAAACGTCAATATTATTTTCAACGTTTATAGATATATTATAATATGCAGATTTATTATGAGGAAAAACAATAAAAGTGCATAGTTACTTAGAAATTAGATAGGTAACTGAACATTTCAATTTCATCGAGAAATAGGCAATTTGATTCAAGAGAAAATGAGAAGGGTGAAGAAAGCAGATATAGTTCTGATAAAGTATCTCAAAAAAATTGAACCTACCAAACGACGATTTGATTTCTCTTCGGTGGTGTGAACCGGGGTTCGAACCCCATTATACCCATAGTAGTTCTTGTAGTAATCAGGAACACCCCCGTGTCCTGGCTCTGCCGCCACTGGAAGGCAAAACAGGGGGTTAAAATGATTAGAACGACTTTTTTGTCTCGTATTTTGACATTTGACAGACTGAACCGGCTTTGGAATTTTGAGCAGCTTTGCCTCGCACATCGGGGGTGTTTTTTCATTTTATGAATTATTGTTTGTGCCGAACGATTTGTGTTCTTCTTCATACAAAAAAATATCTGAACAGAAAACCAATCTGTGAGTTTGAGGATTTAGAAAGTTGATATGAATACGTACCCTACAGGATGGATTCAATGACTGACCAGCAGACCCATCAAAAGAAATCACTGAAGTAATATAGTGTGTTCCATATGTTCACCAGAAACACTCTTGTGTCTCCCAATCAAGTCTTTTTTTAGGATGTGTTTAAAAATGTCCTATAGTTTGCTGTATCTGATCATCTATTTGAATATATCAATTGATCTTATAGTCGTACAGAAGTATTCATACATTTTTGCTTGACTGTCATCGTTACCATCATGATGATGTGTCAGTTGTTTGTATAAGCAACCATTTCGGATTTGATCACATTAGAATCCAAAATGACGGACTTCCGGTTTTTATGGAAATGCCAGCAACTTTGTTTTATCAAATGAATCACCCTGTATATTTTTACATATTCAAGTTCAACAGGTCAAAATAAGTGCAATCTTCAGGTCAAATGTAATTCTCTCGCAGAGATAGGAATTATTTAAATTAAAAGGTGATTCATGAAATAGTTGTTGATTTTTGAATGAATACAATGTTACTGCACCGAAATACAAAAATGATGTGTAATTTTTTTCCTTAATGAATGTTCCAGAAAGACATGTAGGTTGCCCATAAAAGAGTTCCACTTGAGAAGAACGAATTACTGATCAAAGTGCGATGTGACTGAATTGATTCATCGATAAGTGACACAAATAATAATTTTTCAGAAAAAAATATGTTCCTCTAGTAGAGGTATGTGGGACTCATTGTGAATAGCCTCTAAGAGGTAAAATAAGTAATTCCAATTCAAATATTTTCAAAAAAAAAATACATCTGACATGGAGGTTGCACTGTTTTGACCTGTGAAAATATACAGGGTGTTTCATTTGAAAAAACAAAGTTGCTGGAATTTCCAGAAAAACCGGAAGACTGCCATATTGGATTGTAGTGTGAACAAATCTCAAATGGCTGCGTATGTATCTGTACCGAATTTCATAGAAATCCGTTTACAAATGCAGAAGTTACAGGGGTGGCTCGATACCTTGTGTCTCTCGGTATATCAATATATCAATATGAATTTCAATAACTTAGATAAAAAAGTATTGAAAGTTGAACATCAAGTATTGTTATCAACTTAAAATGCTGAAATATGGCTTTCCTGTAATCTGTAATTCAAAATTTTTTCAAAATAATTCACATTACTTAAATTGAAGATGAAACAAAAATGAAAACCGAGACCAAACTTATTTCGGATAGATTCAAATGAACGCTCGCCTACCGTTTACAGAAAATTCTTATATACCGGGAGTCCACATTTTTGTATATTAATTCAGAGAGGTGGTATACAGGCTTAGAAAGAAAGTATGTCAAATTTGAAGAAAGTGTTTTCTATGATATGAAATAATGGAGTTTTCAATTGAAATTTAGTGCCCTGGTATTTAAGTTATGGCGAAAGTCTCCTTATTTCGCGAGATTCTTCCTACTCTCAAAATTATTATTGTACACACATTTTTACACCCAGTTTATCACTCAAAATGAAATTATTTCCGGAGAGTATCATTTTTATTACAATCGTACTATTATGTAATACTTCTGTTATTCAGAAATCTAATTGACCAGACCGATGTTTTAGAAACATTTTGTTTCTGCAATCTTCAGTTTCCCATTACATTCTGAAGAAGAAATTAAGTCTAATGAAAATTTTTCAAGGTGAGAATGATGAAATGCGAAAAAAGTTAGAAGGTGATTTTCTGTTTAATATATTTTTTGAACACTATTGAATAGGTACTAGGTGATCATAAAAAAATCTTCAAAACCCTGTTTATCAAAAACAAAACAAGGTACGACACATGTCCTTTTGTTAGAATATGACGACAAATCATATATTTTTTTGCAATTATACAGTTTGGACGCATAATCAAATTAGTCCTTTCATAGAATGGAAAACATTCCAGCCTTATTTCAACACTTTTCCTATATTTTCCATGAAATCTGGTTAATTGGTTTAATTATATCCACAAACTCTTCTTTCAACTCGCGGTAGTCAAGGTCATTATAGATTCCGATGACATTGAAAATTACGGGAAAACTTTTCTAACTTTCAATCTACGCCAGGAGCACCGAACATACAGGAGTCAGAATGTTTTCCTGTGGTTTTCAATGTCATCGCAACGTCATCTGATGATCTTGGCGAAAGCGAATAATAAGTGAACCCTGAAATCCATAGATTCTTCCACAATGAAAATGAACCAAAATCGTTCGGCACCCTATCTGATGGAGAATGATCGCGCGTAAGAAAAATCATGAAACACTGTACCAATCTGCGAGGCTGCTTGACCAGTGGCCGATTCATGCCGTTCATCTTGTGGTAGAGGCCACAAGCATTGCAAAGATAGTGGCCAGTGCCGTCCCTGCGCCACAAGGGGGTGTCAATTGCGCCGCAATTGACGCATTCCCTGCCCTCGGTGAAGTATTCTGCGGTGCGTGGGTCGACTGCTCCACAAAAATCAACATTAATAAAAACGAAATATCCATAACGTTAATGGAACATTTGTGATTGAGAGAGTAATACAGCTAAACAATTTTGTGGCAGAAAATTCACTTTCAGCACAGTCGTTATTGTGTAATGCTAATAGGATTTATTTATTGTAATGATAGCAAGAAATATCATAGCAAAAACTCTGGTAGCACAATTCTCCTCAGTGTAGTGGAAAAAATGTTATACAGTGTCATTCATAAAGTCGACATCATATGGGAAAAACTTTTATCAATGACTTATTTTGAAATTCGACGTGGACGTTAAGTTTTGCTTCAAAAAAGATGAAAAATGGCCTACTCAATCGGGGTCACGTGACTTTCGATACATGTCAAAAGTGACATTTTTTCAAATTAATCGCTGAAAGTAGGCTTATTTGTTCGAATCTCGAAAAAGTTTACTTGAAAAAGTTGTTTCTATTTGAATTTTACATATGTGACTCGGATTTTATCTTTCTATTACATTTGTTAGATTTCGATATTTTTTGAAAATTTTCGAAATTTCTGTAATATTAAAAAAATTGTAAATTCGATAAAACTACTTCATACCAGTAGTTTCATCATGCTACTAACTTTCAATTACTAGTTATCACTAATTATCGATAAAAATATGATTTTCTTCAGGAAATGATAATCTCCGCTTCAAAATTCTGTTATGTTTGATGCAAACATAACATCAAAATTCTGTTATGTTTGAGTCAAGCATTTAGAAACGAAATTCATTTCATTTTTTTTCAGTACTGAAAAGATCAGTTTAAATGAATTTCGATTCTAAATGCTTGACGATATATCAACTTTGCATCAAACATAACAGAATTTGTAAGCGGGTATTATCATTTTCTGAAGGAAATCATATTTCTGTCCATAATCAGTGATAATAAGTAATTGAAAGTAAGTAGCATGAAAAAGCTACTGGTATGAAGTAGTTTCGTGGAATTAACAATTCTTCAAATATTACAGAAATTTCGAAAAATTAAAAAAAAAATCAAAATCTAAAAGTTGCAATAGAAAGATCAAATTTGAGAAGAATGTGTAAAATTGGAATAGAAAAAAATTTTTCAAGTAAACTCTTTCGATATTCGAACAAATAAGCCTACTTTCAGCGATTAATTTGAAAAAAATGTCACTTTTGACATGTATCGAAAGTCACGTGACCCCGATTGAGTAGGCCATTTTTCATCTTTTTTGAAGCAAAACTTAACGTTCACCTCGAATTCCAAAATATGTCATTAATAAAAGTTTTTCCCATATGATGCCGACTTTATGAATGACACTGTATACAGGCTGATTCACGGTGGAAGGCACCACGTTAGACGTTCCTGGAGAACGTAATTTCGAATTTTTCTGAAAATCTGGTACCTTGAATAATTAGTTGTGCTCTATCGTCCTAACATATTCTCAGCACTGCGACGTTGCCGCTTATATTGAAAAGTAACAACAACTTTGATTTTTTGAACGGGACACCCTGTATATTATTCCATTTTCAGATTCTCCCTGGAAAGCTGATTACATTGACTCATAACATTTGGGGTCTAGCAGTGACAATTACAGAGATATAGGGTGTGAAAAATCGAGATTTTTCAATTTCAAGATGTTTTTGTGTCGAAACTATTCATAATTGGTCAAAACGGTTCTCTCAACTTTATATTCACTATCAATCAATATTCAATTGAAATAGGTACAGGGTGAGAATTAATTAAATATCAATTGATAGTACACAAAAGTTGAGATAGAGACATGGAAAACGTTTTGACTTATTATCAATAGTTTCGACACAAGAAATTGTTGAAGTAGATAAATCTCGACACCTTATATCTTCGATATCATTCCCGCTAGACCCAAGTGTAATAGATCAATGAAATTAGCTCTTTAGGAAGAATCTGAAAATGGAATAATATATAGGGTGTCCCATTAAAGAAATCGAAGATGTTGCTACTTTTCAATATAAGCGGCAACGTCGCAGTATTGAGAATATTTGAGGTCGAAAGAACACAAGTAATTATCCAAGAAACCAAGTTTTCAGTATGATTCTACGTTACGTTCTCCAAAAACGTCTAATGTGCCATCCACCGTGAATCAGCCTGTATATACCACGGGTGAGAATGCTATTCGGTCCGATTCACTACGCGCGTGGTTATTTTAACAACTGGTTAATTTAAAGGTCAGTGGTTATTTGAACCACTTACAGATTTTCTGATTCTCCAAAAGTATAGATGGATACCAAATCAACAAATTGTCACGCTTTTTCCACTTTTTATAATGGCACATATCCACCAGCTTTTTCTGGTGATTTGTGGAGTGGCTAAGGTTTCTAATTAAAAAGTTTGGCACTTTTTCAAGGAAATGTTGTTCATCTGTTAATGCTAGATTTTTCACAAGAGACAATTCTACGGCAAGAAAGTATGGAATATCTAACTGATTATTTAACAATAACAAAAAAATTACCTACCTACTTCACTAGAAGGATAGTATCAAACAATAGAATTTTGAGGGATTCAACAAGTTCGTCCTTGAGTTCCGGGAATTCTATCACATGCCAAAAGTATTGGTTTTAGAGAGGTTTTGATACCATTAATAGAACCACAGATGGAAGACGTTGGTTGGGGTCTTTTATTGTACCACATGTTAAAGTAATGATGAGTTTTTGTAATATATCAGTACAGAGAGTACTTAGAGAACATTTATAACTAATGCCTAGTATTTCATATACTTGCTGCTTTACATTTACTTGCACGGGAGGATCATATATCATCATGGGGATTGGGGAATGATTCTAATGCAGCAATGTCTCAACCAAGTGCTTGTAGAGTATATCAATTGTAAGGATGAATTGACGTTAAAAAGGCAGCTTCTCGGCATTCACATCGACTTCCACATCCAGTAGAACATCTGCAAAATATGCTGTTCTGCAGTATCGCTTCAGGTGCTACTGGGTCTTTGGTTATCACTGAGATAAGCGGTGCAGTATTTGTATTTTGACATGATTTCATTGAAGAAAAAGTTCATAAATTCTGAGCGATATGGTGAATGATCACTTGGCCTGTGTTCTGAAATGTGAAATGTGCCCACACTCACGTGCAGGACATGCTTGCATTGAAGACTAGCCGCCTAAATGTGTTCAAGGATTCCTCAGATAAGAGGCCAGCGTAGCTTTGTGGTTAAAGCGTCAATGTTCTATCAACGTTGGATTGTCGGTAGGTGGGTTCCATTCCCACCACGAGAAACTTTTCTGATGGCCTAAAGAAAGTGTTTGGGATCACACGTTGAAAAGTAAGACCCCCGTCATGCCTTGCTCACACAGGTCTCTTGAAGACTTCTGAGGGTTGCTCGTAAGAGTCGTAAGAGAGCAACCGAATGATGGATAAGAACAATTATTATAGAACAATTTTTTTAGAGTTATTTCACCATATTTCAAACAGCTTCACGTTGGGCAGGAGTTTGACGAGACATGATCATAGAGCAGACTCTAATGCGCTCCATTAAAATCTCAGGTGAGCCTGACTCGAGGAATGGGAATAACTGATTCTGTTCCAGTGAAGGTTGATGGGTCTCCTGGAGCAGCCGGAATCTGCTCTTCATTAGAGGAGTTTGCAAGAGTGACTTATTTCAGTGGGGAGCATCAGGTTGATTTCTGGGTATCGCGGCAAAATAGGGATGGACAAACTGGGTGATACTGAACAGCATGTTTTGCCGATTTTCTACTAGATGTGGGGGACGATGTGGGTGCCGAAGAGCAGGAATTCCATGCGCCATCTTGTGTATACGTGTACAAATAGTGCACTGTTGCAGGATATGCGTAAAATTATGATGGATATGATCACTAATTGTGAATTATTGGAACGTATACATTCAATATGTTTGTTTTTGATAGGTACCTATAGTATTTTTTTCTATTACTATTCACGTTAAACACCCCTGTATCTCAGAAACTTTTCACTGTACACGAAAATATAATAAGACCTTTTTTATTGGAAATTTCATGATGGAAATGTTCTGCTTTATAGAGGCCGCTATTTCAGAGTTATTGAAGAATACTGTCTGTAGGTTAATCGAGGAGGTAGTACATTCATTATTCTAGATTTTTTGGGAGTTTTTCTCCTCGTTTCTACAAAATTAAAGATGGATATTATCTCAATATGCGTGTGGTAAGGACAAATCAGATTATTTGCCCCAAAATGTCACTGCGTTTGAAGAATCTTCCATCTTCCTATCAGTCAGTGACAATTTGTATTGAAAAAGGTTTGGAAAAGAGAAATACTGAGAAGTGTCAAGACGAATACGAATTTGCCATTGAAATATCAATTTTTTATGTTGAAAACGGGAGCAGATTCGTTCCCGAAACCTCCAGAGATGAATAAAAATTTTATATTTTTTCAATAAACCTTCATTTCTCTTTTCCAAACCTGTTTCAATACAAATTGTCACTGACCAGCAAGTGAATTTTTCTTTTAGGATCTCTGATAGGAAAATTCTTTAAACGCAGTGACATTTTGGGGCAAATCATCTGATTTGTCCATACTACACGTATATTGAAATAATATACATATTTTTATTTTATAGAAACGAGGAGAGAAAATCCCAAGAAATTTGGAATAATATTCAAGAATCACTTGAAGAAATTATCTTCAAACCCTCCCATATCGCCCCGTTCATTTCCTAAGGGTCAGGACTTTCAGTATGTTGTTCATAGCACTTCCCCTACCATTCTACAGAAATTTGCTACTAATAGTAGATTGTTTTATTAGGATCAAAAGTGACACTTTGTTTGACAAGCGGATTTTGCATTTGCGAGGCGGAGCGTTTAGCGAAGCCGAGCGAAAGCAAAATTTGCGAGTCGAACAATGTCACTTTTGATCCGAATGAAACATGCTATTTTTTCTGCAACCGAAACAATTTACTCAAATAAACATGTGGAGTAACCACCAATGCCGTGCCATATTATGTATGCACTGCAACAA